ATGTGCACAACATGACATGAGTTCGTCGTGTATGCCTTTCGTTCCAAGCATGATCCGATGGCTATTGCTCATCTTCCTCGTCTTCGTACCCGCTCGCCCATGGACCGCTCTGTGTTCCTTCTGTACATGGAGGTCGGCACGTGCGCCACTCTCTTTTTTACAACCTCGTCATTCAAAGTCGAAAAGCAACGCACCTGCCGACCCTGCTACGCATACGACGAAAGTGGACCCTTATAACCTCACCTTCAAGGTATGCTTCATGCCTCTCTTCTGCGTATGATTCTGGTCCTTGCTGTATCGCATGTGTGTTCATAAATGCACGCGGGGGCGAGGAGTAATGAGGGATTTTTTTTTATTTTTATTTTTTATTTTTATTTTTTTTTTACCCGTTCTGCAAATAACAAAATTGATACTATAAACATATGTAAAGGCTTGGAAGAAGATGCAACATGAGCGGGAACTTGAATTGTGTGCCTTATCTGCGAGGACGAAAAACCGAATTGCTCTCCATCATAAAGATATGGATGTGTATGTTTGCGAAATAACAGGGGAAAAAAAAATAAAAAAAAATACTGCACTGCAAAATTGTCGACCTCGTAGACGAGTAACAACTGATATGAAAAGGTTGATCTTTTCCATTCATATATTACCAGGACTCTCACACATAATATGTAGCAAAGAAAGTGCAGTACGAGGAATTGCAGTTGACGATGGCGGCACACGGATATATGACATGTGATTGCGGTCGTGCATTTGGAAGTACACAAGCTATGAACTCACATCGATCACGAGGATGCCCTGCAAGTATCATTGACCTGGCGTCATCATCTAGTGGTGATGAGAACATGGTACCGACAGGGGATGACAGAGATGATGACCCAACTCCAGCAGACATTCAATGAACCATCCACGCGGGGACAGGAAGTGAACCTTTCAATGAAAATGTTGACGATGATGAATTACACAACGGGGTCGCAGGTCATAATGAGAATGTTATACATTATGACTCTGCACGAAAAATAGCAGTAATGATGTTATCGGCAAGAGGGGGACTAGGATTATCTCTCACAGATATGGATGGGTTCCTTGCAATAGTCCGTAATCCACACTTCGATCCTCGCTCGATACCTTTTCGCACAGGAAAAGAGTGTCTACAGTGGACAGGTCGACAAGCAGGGGTTAACGCATGACAAGAAGTAGATATGAGGAAGGAAGATTGGCCACAAGATGCGCACGCAAAGTTGTGGTTCCGTGATTGGAAAACGACATTCTTGTCGTTACTAGAACGTGGATTCAGATCAAAGAACAAATTAGTCATATAAGTTCCGGCAGAGACGGATCAGAATAGTCCAATAACAGGTGCCATAACGGCATCGATGTGGAGGCACGTACAAAACACAGTGCGCACAACGAAGGGGTTGGACATGAGCGGGCAACAAAGGTATGTGGTTCCTTTTTCGTTGTACTCAGACAAAACACATGTGGATGGCAGAATGAAACAAATAGCATATMCACTCATGATGTGWRTTGCCGATAGGGCAACAGAGRCCACACTTCTARCGTACTTGCCAGTTCTGACACAYAGGYCAAAAGACGCAGGTTGGGGCSAACAATCCTCTCAGTTCAGAAAACGTAAAAGYGTAGTATTCCATKAAGCTCTCWMCATGGTTTTAYAGGCTGCTAAGGACGCATCACACGAGGGTGTCGCYGTTCGTACACACGACCTCGGTGAAATCACRGTGCATCCTTTCCTTYTRAACTRTATCCAAGATTATCCAGAGAGKTGTGCGCTARCAGGCGTCAAATTTGGTCGYTGCCCCACCTGCACRGTTGCAAAGTCAGACATGGACATGTACRCTGATTTTGAAAGCAGCAACAGATCAGAGGAGTCTGACAAAGCAGTAATACATGACTCCAGAATRTYTTCGACTCCCGACATCCGTCATGCTGCACAGGAGCGTCTTYAAGAGTGGGGATTACACAGATACRTTTCCGCGAATGGGTTGTGGGGGTYTTACAAAGGGCCAGAGGGCGACGACCCGTTSATGGATTATCATCTGACACTTCAACCGGATAGGATGCACACGATAGAGCATGGAATATTTTTACRTATGATAGATGYCTTTCGTGAGGCCACAAGARAAAAAYTTYCCGGAACTCCTAACACRRAAATATTAGCAGAACTAGATGCAAGGCTCYAKTGMATAAGCGAACGRTGCGTAAACACATATCCAGGACTTGTATTGCCCGTAYGCACAGGTAGTGATTTCTTTTCCAGAGAAGGTAGATTCGAGGCGAAGCAGAATCGCTCCGTGATGACCGTGGTCATGTTCGTGGTTCAMAATGTAGTGAAGGGTAGAGMAGGGRAGCGGTTGACGAAGTGTTYYTGCAAGCTTRTGAAATTTTATATGGCACTTTTTCGGAGGGCGTCGCACACAGTAGCTTCTCTCGATTACTCWGACGAATTGTTAGGTGATTTCATGTATTATGTGAAAACTTACATGGACCGATATCAAGCATCACGATGAAAATTGCCAAAGATGCATGATCTCAACAAGTTCACGGCATGCGTGGAGCGGTCAGGGCTCCCGGACACATTCGCAGCCGATGTATGGGAGCATCATCATATTACATTTTGCAAAGATCCTTATCGATCCTCAAATCGCAGACAGGCTACAACGCAAATGGTAGACCATGTCCGTCGATCTATCGCTTTGCGAGACGAAACAGAATGTATACGTCGACAAAAGATCAGGGAAACCGAGAACTGGTCTGCTGTCAGCAATGCCGAGACAAGTGGAACAAACACCTTGTCTGCAAGAAACAAAGCCACACTGCGTTTGAAATGGTTTTCTTTACAGAATGTCTCCACAAACGTTAGTGAAGGCATGAGTGAAGAGGATGCATTCACTCTCGAGAACATATCGTATAGAGAGAATTTCAGAGCTGCGTTATCAGTATTTTTCAATGAAAACGAATGTCACCACCCCCACGGACGAGACAGTGATCAAAACAAGGACGCACCTTGCAATTGCATGTACCGATGATGGAAGTATCAGGGGATCAATGGTACAAATAGCCAGAGCTTCACCACGGTTTCACGGTCGGCCTGTCCACAACGATGTATGTGTCAGAGCTGTAGAAGGAGAGCTGTGGTATGCATCAGTGGGTATGTTTTTCGTCGTAYAAGGTCAGCGAGGTCAAGAGGTTCACACATTCGAGTGTGCATATGTACACTGGTATAAAAAAATCAGGAACGAGCCCT